GCACGCATATTATTATTATTATTATTATTATTATTATTATTATTATTATTATTATTATTATTACTACTACTACTACTACTACTACTACTACTACTACTACTACCACCACTACTACTACTACTACTACTACTATTTGGAGAGAACAGATCTTTGCTAAATTCATCACCCAAAACGTATCCCAAGAAATCAAACAGTTTTGGGATTTTCACAATGTAATTGTGAAAAATGAAATAGCTTCCTTGAGATTTAATGAAATTGTAGGTGTCCACAGTAAGTCTTATACTTGTCATTTGCTTTTAAGATAATATATTGTCTCAATTAAGAAGCAGGAAACGTATTTCTGCCACAATAAACAATATATGCACATTCGTTCATCTGAGTAATTTTTAGTGTCACTCGTTAGTCATATTAGCTCAGTTTGGTTAATTCACAAAAGAATTTGATCTTTTAGCAGGACACAGATTTCAGGAAAATAAAGAAGCAATCTTGAGTGGAAGAAAACACTAGGAACACTAAAGAAGAGATGAAATGATAAAATAGTATTTCTAGGTTTTTTTTTTAAAGCACAGAAAAATGTGTGCAAGTAAAATCATGCCAAAAGGAAGCAAAATAGGAAGAGAAGTAAGAACCAGAAGCTACAAGAAAAAGATAAACCTCTAGTTTGAGGAAAGTTGAAAAGAGATTGAATAAAGGTTTCATTTTTCCTTCAGCATCTCTGAGAGTCTTCTCTACTGCTCCAACTGTTTGTACAAAAATAGCTTATTTTTGTCCTTCAATCTTATTTCAAAATCAACAACTGTTGCAGAAATGCTGTGGCAAGGACATTTATGTTCTCACTTCGTATGGAATATAAAAATGAAGAAGGAAAACCTACCTGTTCCCATCGCTCCTGGTGGACAATTACTGGAAGAATCTCCATTAGGAACAAGATCAGACAATTTTATGGCACCATCCGAGGGAGTGCGTCTATGCCTCTGTCGCTGAGCTTCAGAAGAAAGAGTCACATGTGTAGGTGTCAAAGACTGGTTGGGATTCCGTTTGAATCTCTCAACTCGGATATTAACTAGTGGGTTACTAACTACTGGCAAGGGAGCCTTCACTGTCACAGGACTAACAGGCATCTCGTATACCACAATTTCATCACTGTCTGAATGAAGCAAAGAACGGGTGGAGTTACATTCGGAAATTGAAGACAAAGAGAGTAGAGTCAGAGAACTGGATGGTTCGCCTAACAAGAATGTGGGTTCTTCTTTCTTGAAGATCTTCCTTGAAGGTGGGCTGGTACTCCTCCGAGATAGACCAGCCCGTTGGAAGATACTTTCCCGTTTCTTTTTCTCTTCCTTGGACATGTCCTGATCTTCCTGGGTTAGCAGCTGGCACTTGCCAGCCTCCAAAAGATCAAAACCTAGGCCAGCAGCAGCCAACACAGCCCCACAGCCTAGAAAGGCCAACTGACATTGTTTATATTGGGAGCCCCCACGTTTGAGGCTATTGGTGGGAGTGAGCTGAGGAGTGCTTGTGCAAGAGTTCACTGGAGTAGTCTCTTCATTTGGATCGCTCGAGTGGGTATCCCAGTCATCATTCTTATGAAACGGGATGCAGAGGTATGATTGGTTAAATCCAGGGGATTCCTGCATCTTGCTCTCCGTATCATTCAAAGAATCGTTGTCTTCATTGTCTGAAATACACACAAAAAAACTTTTTGAATATTTACATAATAAATATGTATTGGTTAACTTTACCACACATGCATATCTTGAAACATGGCAAAATCATCAAAATCTGAATTTTAATTTTAATAAGAATACAACATATTGGAACACTGTTCATTCAAGGAAAAATGTCAAAAGACTACTTTTGAATTGATAAATCCTCTAATTCTTTCTTATGCAACTATACTGACTCATGCGTCTTTTAAAAGACAACAGTTCTAAGAAAATTGAATTTTGCAGGCGATTATCTAGGATAGAGGGGATAGTCAAATGTTATAGATGAGGCCGTATTTCCTGCAGTGAGTCAAAACTATGATACGTTGTGTTAATTGATCCGAGTTTGTTGAGTGGGGTTTAGGAATACACATATTTCCTGGAATGAAATGAAGAATAATGGATGGCATGTTGGTAAACTCCAGATTTGTTTTAAAATTATATCTACAGGATTGTCATTAAAATAAAGCCTCTAAGCTGAAAAGGGGAACTAACCTCTGAAATCACATGCCCTTAAAAAGCTTCATTTGCTATTAGTTTAATTTATGTGCACAATTCAGAGGCTTTTCTTAAAAGCCAATAAGATGTTTTGGATCATTTGTTCTATATTAAGAGCTTTGATCAAAACCTTTTCCCCCAAGGAATCAAATTTTTTTAACAAGTGTGACAGTTCTGGGGAAAAGGGAGAGCTAAATATGTCCCAACTTCACCAGTGAGGCAAACAGACTTGCTAAGTGGAGCCTTAAAAAAAAACCATTAGAGATATTTGAGAGGCTTTTGTTTATCACAAATGGTGAAATAAAGCAACCTGCTATTCATTTAATACATTTAATTTAATATGTACTTTACCCATCTCTATTAGGCTTGCAAATCCAGGAAAAGGGACTATTGTTCGCTGGAATTTTCCAAGGTTTGGCGCACTCGATGACCACTGTCTAGCGCCATCTGCTAGGGACTTTAGGCTAAAATATAGAGAAGAAAAACTAAATAAATGCAGGAGCTTGCTTGCTACCTATATTCCATTTTGACACTCTATAGATTAAATATTAACATTACTTGACATTCTATAGATTCTACACTAAAAATGAAATGCACCTCAGTTACTTATTTAAACATATGAGATTTTCCTTAGCATAACCCCTGAAACAATCTACAGTTGTGAGAACAAAATGGTTAGCAAAATTCAACAACACAATACAATAGAATACAGTACAGCATACAGTACAATACAATACACTACAACCTCAACATAATTAGGTAATGAAACCCAATTTAATTTTTATTTCAGTCAACCAGCATTGATGATGATGATACGTATACTGATATCAGCTATTCAAGATTTTGGAATGCCTAAACAAATTTGAAAGTCTACATGAGACACCCCCTCCCCCCAAAATGACCCTAAGCTAAAAGTGAAAAAGAAATGTTGCTGTGTATTTGTAGGTATAGTGAAAGAATATGATAAAGTGAACAGGTTTAAATTTTGGAACACTTTATGGAAAATATGATGATGATTATTTATTTGAAAAAATGTTTGTCAATATACATTGAAAACTCATGATACAGGAGCATCCTCATCCTTACCCATCCTCACTTGATGTGAGCTCTTTGCTGCAAAGAGTACCTGGCCCCCATGTCCGACCCTTTTTCTTCTGGCCTCTTTTTTCTTCTTCCCCTTCCTCATCTTTCTGGAGCACAGAGCTGCGTCCCCATGTTTTGCTGCTTTCACCAGGGGTTACTGAAGATGAGAGGCAAAATTGGAGAAAGAAAAAAAGTAAGCATCACCCAACAACGTTGTATGAAGTAACATTTTATACTTTATAAACTAGACTTATTTTTTGAAAATTTACAAACCACAATTTTAATTGTTCATAGACATTCTCATTCAACTTAACCAGGGAAAAGACTTTTTATAGGGAAGGCAGGCATTTGTCATCTCTCTCTTTTCTTCTCTTTCTCTTTTTTTAAAGATGTATATTGAAGGAGAGAACATTTCTCAGGGAAATAAAACTCAGTCTCAAATAATACAATGAAATAGCAGAAGAAGTTGAGAGAAAAAACTGATAAGAGGATAAATATCCAAACATACTTATTATGCTTTGCAAATAAAGCTTCACATATCTTACTGGTCTTCTCTCTTTGTAAGAAAAATGCTGCAAACTGGGCCAATTACACCCAAGGATGGTAAATATGCTTTATTTCTTCAAGAAAATTGTAACATGATCTCTATACTTGATTAAAGGTCAGACCATTTTACATATATCTGTTCCAGCTTCTTTTTAAAGCTAAATAAGACATCCTCTTCACCTCTGAAAGATCATACCAAGCTTGTGATAATCAGTTTGAAACTGATGTATTGGGATGGAGAAAAACATTTTCTTAAAAAATAAAATAAAAAAGAACACATTTTTGTTCCATCTGCATTAAGAGAAATTATGAAAATCATAGGTCAATGTTGTACCACATAGTGACAGACAGAATAAGAAGCAGAAATGCATGTTAACTAAGATGTAAGTCTTAAAGATATGTTCTTCATGGCTTTGAGAAATAGTTAGCCTTCTCGTTCTGATGGAATATGCAGTCTAATTGCAGAGTTAGTATTGTTACTAGAAGTTAGGAAGCTAGTATCAGAGAACATGTTTAACTCCTTTGACGGACTATTTGTGGCTGTTCTTATATAGGGATAAGCTAGTATCAGGGATCCTCACACTGGCAAACTCATACTTCATTATTGTAATGTCAGACTGCGGCAAATATTAACAATTTATTATTTTTAATTCCCAGTGACTTTTGGTGGTCTTTTTGATCTGAAAATAAAAGCCAGTGCAAAATGCACTAGCAAAATTACTGTGTGCTGTGTTTAGTCAACTGCTCTACATCTTATATTGTGCCCTGCAAGAAAACAAGTTACAGCTATGCACATCTACCATATTTTTTGGAGTATAAGACCCACCTTTTTCCCTCAAAAAAGAGACTGAAAATCTGGGCGTGTCTTATACACTGGATACAGCATTTTTTGCCTCCCGAAACCCCGTCCCCTTCACCAAAATGGCCATGCATAGCTTTTAAGAGGCTTCCAGAGAACTCCTGGGGGCTGGGGAAGGCAGAAGTGAGTGAAAATCGGCAGTTTTTTGCTCAATTTTTCCCCCCTCCAGGCCCCAGAAGTACTCTATAAGCTTCCTAAAGGCTATGCATGCAATTTTTTGGGTGAAAAACAGGCCCGTTTTTGTAAAAAACGGACCATTTTGGGGAGGTTTGCAGAGTGCAAAAACTTTATTTTTAATCTGCCTCTTCAAAATCTTGGTGCGTCTTATACTCCAAAAAATACGGTATTTAAACCCATATTGTTAAGGATAAAATGGCAGAAAAATGGAAGCAAGCAATCAGTTGTTAAAAACAAATTATAATGAGACACAATGGGGCAATCAAGATTAGCTATAAGCAAAACTCCTCAATATAGAAAGCAACATGATGTCTTTATTTGAAACAGAAATTCAGAGTTTCATATTGGCACTGGACACTTTTTATCAATTGGAATTAAAATTCCTTACACTGGATAGCCCTGAGTCTAGGAATGATAGTAGGGCTGGCAGGAGGACTAGCACAGTTGATCAAATTTTTTCTTTTATCCATGGTTGGAGATGCCTGCACGGTGAATTTGTGCTGGAAATCTGTTATGGAAGGAAATATAAAGAAGGAACTTAGTGAAGTAATGCTAACATTGAAAAGATATAAGTGAGGTACTGTGTCATTCATATATATATTTTAGTCTGCTAATACATTATCTTCAGTTGAGAATTTAGTATGAATCCTGCAATCTTGACAAGAGAAAACATTAAAATTATATTGTTTTCCACTTATTAAAATATGTTAGAGCCATGTCTTCTTCTGTATCAAACTTACTATGCAACATGTTACACAGATGAGTTACTGGTAGTTTATGAAACAGTAAAGTACTTTTTCTAGAAGATACAGTATGATGACATATTAAAATGCTGTAGTTTCAATAAGCTAATTCAGAAGAGAGAAAGGAGAGGCATTGCTTTGAATGGGAAAATACTGCTAAATTTGCTAAAAGTTCTGTATCACAAATGCTTATTGGGGATGTTAAAATTAAAGATTTTGTTCCAGCAACATTCAGCATTATTTTGAAAATACTTCCATTGGACTTGGACCAAATCAGAGACAGTCTACTTTAATTCTGGCTAAGAACTGAAGTTAAATTAAAGAAACAGTTCTTGTCTGTGTCCCACTTGTTAACATTACAAAGTCACAAAAACCAATAACATGTTTAATTTTTTACAGAATGTGATTTTATTTTGGGGTAAATGTTCAGAAATGGCCAGCTACTAGGAATTTTTCAGTACTGTTTTTTTTTTAAAGGACATTCCATAACATTTTGGTTCAGATATTTGTAGACTCTGTTTATCTTAAATGTGGATCAAAACAATTCCAATTTCAGACTGATATTGAGTTTGTATAAATTTGAAAAGGCATAAAGAATATATCTCCATCTTACTTATTGCCTGGTGATCAAGATCTATCCCTTAAACAGAAACCTGATAAATTACAGATTTTTTTTACAATCTGATTTTTGTTTTAAAAAGTAGTAGAGCAGTTTGGTAGTACCTACATATGGTTGACCAAGATGTCTCAAAAAGGTTTGTCACTTTCACACTGTTGTCAAGAAAACAATTTGTCTAGGCCTATAAAGTCACCAAAAGTCTAGCTTGAATGAAAGAATGTTTGAATTGTAATCAGATACTGTAATTATTCACACATCATATATTTTCATGAATAAATAAATCTGGAAGGAAGGAATAGATACTTTATTTTGTTTTGCTAAACGCACCAGAGGGAAGACTGATGTGATTGCCATCTTTCAATTTGAGCCGATTTTTCCTGAATTTGCCCATGCGTTTTCTTACACGGGGCTTTTCCTGGCACAGTTGGTGGATGATGATATTGAGTTCTCTTTCCAAAATATCAATTTCTCGTTCTGCCAACTCCTGCTCGCGTTGACGTAGTACTTCTTCATGGTTTTTCTGTTGAACTGCTGCTTGTTTTAACTCTTCTTCCCACGTCCGCAACTCCTACAAAAAACATGTCCCAAACCAAACTAAAAATTGGGGTAGCAAAGTCAACTAGGCTTGCTATAAACGGAAAGGCTCAGAAAACAAAACACAGTTGATATTTTGAATACGCACATGGTAGTTAACAGCTTTTCAATACATATAATTTGAATAATTAAAGTTCAGTGATATGAATGAATCATTTACATTTTTAAAACCAGAATAGTGTTAGCTTTCTCTCTAAAATCAGCCAGTAATCAAATTTCAAAGCAATTACAGGTAATCTTCTCTTACCATCCACAACTGAGGCTGGAATTTTGGTCATAACTTATTGCAATCGTTATACAGGTTCACCCATGATCTGACTTGATTTTTCAAATATTTTGGAGATGGTTGTAAAGTGAGTCACCAGAGTCATTAAGTAAATCATGTGGCTGTTAAACAAGGCACATGGTGATTAAGTGAATCCAACGTATCCAATGGGTGTCTTTTTACCATTTTGTGCAACAGCAAAAAAATATCGCAAATCATTGACACATGACTGTGGGGCACTACAACAACTTATTAATGCAAGCCAGTTGCCAAGCATCCAAAATGCGATCACATGACACTGTCTGTGTATGTGTGTGTGCGTGCACATGTGTGCAGCAGTCATAAAGTTGAGAATGGGTTGTAATTTTTTTTAATCTGTTGTAACTTTGAACAGTCGTTACGTGAGGACTACCTATATGGTGAGAAATTAAAAAACTGAAAGAAATGTTCATACATTGAGTGGAAATCAGATTATTTAGCTTGTTATTATAAAAAAAAGTTATTTGTCTTCTTAGAAGACAAATAACAAGCAATAGAACTATTACTTTTCATCAAGTCCGTATTCACTGGACCGCTTGTCTGATCTGCCAGAATCCATACCACAGAAGTCTTCTATATTTCTTTGATTTCCATCTAATGATGATTCAGACTCTGCAGTTTACTTATAGTAGCACTTCATTAAATAGCTCCAGAGATTAATTTGCAGATATAGAAAAAGCAGTTGTACTTAAAATCTTTAGCTATACTCAGTACCGCCTTTCAAATTTGATACCAATCCCTTTTTAAACTTCTCTCATGTTATAGATCTTGATCATTTTTATTGTCATGAGCTTTTATCATTTTTAATATTAATTGATTAATATTTAAAAAAATCAGTTAATCGATTTAATAGAATCATAGCAGGAGAAGTGGATTCTCTATGCCATTTAGTCCAACCATGATCTTCTTGCAGTGGATTATCTATATATACAAAAAGAGAATTTGAATATATGTGTGTGGAAACAAATAATAATTAAGACAACTGTATATGTTGCTTTTTTTAAAAATTGATTGTGTGCCCTCAAGTTGTTTTCAACTCTTAGTAACCATAGATTTTCTCCACGATGATCCTGTCCCTATTAATTAACAATTAATCAGTGGAACAGCTTTCCTCCAGAAGTTGTGAATGCCCCAACACTGGAAGTCTTTAAGAAGATGTTGGATAGCCATTTGTCTGAAACGGTATAGGGTTTCCTGCCTAGGCAGGGGGTTGGACTAGAAGACCTCCAAGGTCCCTTCCAACTCTGCTATTGTATTATTGTACTTAACAACTGTGGCAAGAAAGGTTGTAAAATGGGGCAAAGCTCAACAATTGTCTTCCTTGGCAACATAAATTTTGGACTCAATTACAGTCATAAATCGAGGCTACCTATATTCAGAACAAGTCTTTTCACATAACTTAAACAGTTTGGGCTATGTGTTCTATTCTGTCTCACAATGACCTTATCTAGAATTTTCTTTCATAATTGAATATATTCCAGTTTTAGTTGGACCATATTTATCTAAAACAATTTTATTTAGGAACAAGTATGCATTTTACTTTCTTAATTATTAAGTTTTAAAGTTTCTTCTCATGGGAAGTAGAAAAGAATACAAATTTAATATGTATAGTTCTGTCTGAGTTGTAGAGAAATCTACTTGACTTGCAATGGATTCCGAGACAGAAGTGGTTAATTGTTTATTGAAGTAACAGTTCCCACCTAATTACCTTTTCCTTGGCTCTGAGTTGGTCAAACATTTCCTGGATCTCAATTTTCCAATCTTCTTGCAGGGAATGAAATGATTCTTTTGGCATTTCAAAGAAACCAGATTCTTCTATATTAGTTAGTTTATTCAAAATATTTGCAAAGGATGGTCTTGAATGAAGATCAGTATTCCAACAATCTAAACAGGATAAAGCCAACAATTCAGGAGCTACAATAGTACAGTATTTGTGAGGCTTTGCTAATGAACTATGCACTTAATTACTAATCATCTCAGTTCCCATACTTACTCAAACGTCCTCTTTTGTTAGAATATATAAATAATGGCATGTGAGGTGACCTTGGGAGATGGGGAAGAGGTGGTGCCTAAGGAATGATCAGATAAGAGAGGACATAGCCTGCAGCTGCATAACAAGCAATGAAACTCCCTAATTTCTCAGGCTGTAAAAAAAGAAGCCAGGAGGCTTGTATTATCAGACTTGAAAGATTCAGTTATTGTAGTCATCTTAAGTCATCTGATTATATTTTCTGTCTGATCTACCTGGGAAGGCTGACATCAGTACTGCAAGGGAAGTTCCTTTTGGAGTTTTTTTCTGTGCCTATTATGTAGCTGTAGGCTATGTGGAATGGACTGTAAGTATAGGAAACCTTGAGGAATGAGAGGTGGCAATGCTGCCTAGGAAACAATCAGATAAGAGAGGCAGGAGCCCCCAGTGGCTTGAGAGTCAGGAAGGAAACTTAGGAAGGATCCACCCTACCGATCAAACAATTAAAAATGCTGGAAGAAAATTTGTACCTTCAGCCTTGCAAGATTGATGTCAGCCCTCCCAGATAATCCAGGCAGGAAATAGGACTAGATGAACTAATTCTACTTTATTGTAAGGCTTCATCAACAACATCTTGCAAGTCTACTCAGAAGTATTTCAAAGAAGCTTAGTAAATCACAATTTTATTCAGCTACCAAAGACTCACATTGTATCTGCTATATTGCCTTTTCCTTGTATTATAATTAATATCCTAAATTCTACTTAGTCCAAAGTACCTTAATCCAATATGTATGCGCATAAAATTACACACATAATTCTACTTTAGTTGACTTCTCTGTTACTTAGTAAGTAAAGATATAATTCTGCCAAATTCAAAACAAATACTGATTCTGAAAATGTCGTAAATCTGAATGTTTCAAGTATGATATACCCTGAAATATTTCTTCTGATGAATTAAATATAATTCAAAGAGATTTCTACGGCAGAGTTTGATGGATGCTATCACTTCTCATCCAAGGTTCTCAAGGTAGTCCTCAACTTGCAACCATTTGTTTAATCATCGCTTGATGTTACAATGGCGCTGAAAAAAGTGACTTATGACCAATTTTCATACTTACGACTGTTACATGATCACATGATCAAATATCAGACTCATGGCAACTGGCATGCCCCAGGGTGATGTGATCACCATTTGTAAGTTTCCAACAAGATGGCTTCCAACAAGCAAAGTCAATGGAGGAAGCCAGATTTGCTTAATGACCACACACTTCACTTAACAACTGTTAACAATTCAGTTCACAATTGTTGTAAAAATGGGGCAAAACTCACTGAATCACTTTCTTGCTTAGCTATAGAAATTTTGGGCTCAATTGTAAGTCAAGGACTACCAGTAATTCTACATCATAACCATGATACGATATAGAATTATCATATCACTGTAGATTATATATTCATAGATATAAGCAGAAGGATAACTCTTCTAGAAAGAGCAAAGTGACATACTACCTATTATCTATTTCTCAAGTACTTGCACAAGTTCTTGGTTATTAAAATCAGCAGATATTCAGAACTATATTTGTGTGATAAAGCATTTTGACAGATCCAGTTTGTCCAACACATTCTTACCTTCCATCAGTCTGGCAAAAGGTTCTGGGCACGTTGAAGGAATAGGAAGTGAAAGTTTATTCATAGCAACGCCATATGCTACTGCTAGGCCATCAATTCCTCGAAATGGTACTTCCCCAGTTAGTAATTCCCAAAGCAATACCCCATAACTATGAATACAAAACAGAGGTTTAATAACTAATGTAGTAGCTTATAGTATATCTCCTCTAACACAACATTCTGGAATCACTCTTTCCTTAGATATATAAAATAAGTGTTCTCATGCAATTAAGATAATGTACACACAGACAAAAACTGAATTGGAGATGAATGGGGTTGTTGTCAGTTATCCCTATTATGAATATATCATTTAAAAATTATGTTCACCTGGAAGAAGTTATTTTACATGATCATTTAAGACAGAGAGTGACATGGGTATTCTAAAGATTTTTAATAGCCTAAGGAAGTCTCACAATACCCCCCCCCAGTTGCATTACAATTTTAGCTCAATTTAAGACCCATTGACCATTTATTTCAATGAAGTATCATTGATGGACACCACAAGTCTCCCAGGTGAACTAAGCCACTCCCTCACACCTGTCTTGGGACTATAATTAACATCGTACCGGAAACAAGGCTTAGCACCACCAATGAAAAGCATCCCCCTTGTTGTCAGCTTCATTTCAGTAATGCATACCAGATCAAATTTCTCATGAATGCATACCAGATCAAATTTCTCATGAATGCTTAACAGGTTTTAATTAAAGACAGAGTGGCAGGATCCCATTAAAAAAGCAGATCTGTGAATACAGCATGTGCTGGATGGTGCCTTTATAATAGATCAAGCAGTTAAAGTAGTGACGAAAGCTTTTTTTTCATGTAGCAATCCACTTTACAACATAAACCAAGCATAATTTAGAAAATTGGAAATGTCATGTTTATTACAATAATTTGATTGCAAGCTTTAATACATTTAAAACAGAACAGTCAATTGTTGATGGTTTGTCTACAGTTCATGTTCAACAGGAAGTAGAAGCTGAAGAATTTCCAAATTCATATAAGCAAATTTAGAATAAAGTCTGCAAAATGAATATGTTGTAGTCCGGGAGTCTTTAGCTCCTCGTAGGATCCCTGCTCCGGAGCTTGTCGGGTGTGAGTCCCTACTAGTGAAGTTGGACCTCAAGGGTAAAGGGGGTTTGCTGCTAACGTACCTGCCTCCCAACTGCGTTGCAGCGGCCCTCCCTGCGCTCCTCGAGTCAGTAGCCGAGCTAGCAATTGAGTTCCCTAGACTAATGGTTCTGGGGGACTTCAATCTGCCTTCGCTCGGTGAACACTCTGATGGAGCGCAGGAGTTCATGGCCTCCATGACAGCCATGGGCCTGACCCAAGTAATTCGAGGCCCTACCCACTTAGCGGGGCACACACTCGACCTCGTATTCCTCTCGGAGCAGTGGAGTTATGA